TATTCAGCTCGGTATGGTGCTGACCACGCACCCCCACGTGCACCGCCTTGGCCTGAATAGGTGTGTGTGTATTTTTATTATATTTGGGTGGAGCGGTGGCACAGTGGTTAACGCACTGCACTACAAACCTAAGTTCGATTCCTGCTCACGGTCAACACCGGTCTGGCTAAACATCCAACAAAGACGGTCGCTGCATCGCGCGCTTTCAAATGCGCTTCTTTCGCTGTCTAGAACGCTCTTCCTTCGGATGTGAGGAAGCCACTGGAGCTATGCACTTTAAAATCCAGATTGAAAACTCATTTCTTTATAGCTGCTTTTTGTGTTTAGTTTGTTGTCCTCCTGTAGCTTTGATTAGCTCTGTTGGCTACGTACGGTGCAAATGAAGTTCAACATACATAATACATATAATTTAACCCAGTGCAGGCATCAACACGGACTTTGATATCAATACGGACTTCCAGCATCGGGGATTCAACCTTAGCTTTCAGAAGTGCCAGCTTAAGGCGCTGGCCTCCTCAGTCAAATCTGTAAATTACAAGAATAACCCATCATCACAGAAAAGTAGTGCAGGCTGGAAACCCATACGTTTCAAACAAAGTGCAAACGTTTGTAAACGTGTGAAAAAAGCACTTGGCCTTTATGCATTATGAAAAACTACGAACAGTTTCTGAAGAGTTGGATTGTGGTCCCTCTTGCCTTGGGTCACAAATCAAAATCAATTTGATGCTGCCTGTCAGGTGCTCTCAGTTGCTCAAATTTATTTTGAAGCTGACCAAAGACAAGAGGACCACAATGCACTCCTTCAGCATTTGCTGATGGTTTTTGCATACTGCACAAAGGCTGAGAGTCTTCTTAATAGTCCATGGGCCAGAGCAGGAATTGGTACCACTTGATGCAGCAAAACCTTTTGTAGACTAGATGCATTTATCATTTCAATGGTTATCACATAATTATTTTTTATTGGCTACGTAATGAAATTGGAACCACTAAATTTATGCCTCCTCAGGTGGTAACGACAAGTGAAATATCTGGTCTGGGCTCATGGACTGGTAGTGTTAGAGAGAGAGAGATGCACATATGAAGCCAAATACAAAGATCGCCCGTGTAGCCTTAACAGACTTTTGGCGGCAGTGCTGTTCGCAAGCAATTATGAAGGCTGGCACGATACATAAGGGGTACCCTCAGTTTAACATGTAGGCTTTTGCGACCAATATTATTCATAATAAAGGTTTTTGGGGTAAGATGGCGAATTGCCCGATGATGCTGGATGTAATTACCAGCGAAACGTCGTATTCAAACTGAAAATGTTGTGGATTCACTCTTCAACACACCGGTGGGCTAAAGTAGTGAACTAATTGTCTTTTGTCAACGTGACACTTTTTTGCTGATTGGCCGTGTCGGGTGGTGGAGGGTTACGACACATTTATAAATAAGGGGTACCCTGCCGGCCTTCCAGAAATGATAGTTACACACCGCACCAGGTAATCGATTTGAGTTGGCCCTAGGGGGAAGCCCACGCCCGGTTCAGACATTCACCACTGATGTTGTCCGCAAGCGGGAATCTGAACTCGAGAGAGAAACACATACGGCCACATGTGCGTGCACCTTGCTCTAACGAGCCTTCTTTTCTTTTCCAGGATAACTTGATGCCCAACCTGGAACGGGATGTTGTGATCGCGGGCGATGGCGGAAATCTTCCCACCGAGTCTCTCACCCCAGGTACGTGGACAGGAGCTGCAACTGCACGACCGCGTGGGTCTTCGCGGTTGTGCCGTACGCCTCTCCGATGTGTTTTCGGGGATTTTTTTCACGAGCGCTAGGCGTAATGTGCGACGTTGCTCTCCACGCGCTCGGGAGCTTCTTCGGTTCCTGAACAACTGAACGCGGCTCCTGAAAGCAGGTGGGTCGACTGTTGTGTGGAGCGAAACCTCGGAATAACGTGCAGTGCGGCCCAAAAACACATCGGAGAGTGATGCATTGTATCTGTATTTCATTCGTCACGCCTACGTCCAACGCCACGGTGTGTCTCTGCTCCAATGAGATGATGCGGCTCACATGTCCAATTGGTTACCCGGAGCCAGTGGTGGGTTCTTCATAATAATTGAGTACGTTTGCAATGGCGCTATCATTCTTATAGCGTGAGGCTACCATTGTGAAGGAGCTATGTTTCACGGACACGGTCTGCGTAGTTTCACAGTAGGGCGAGGGGGGGGGGGGCGATGATTGCTATGTGCAATCCCAAATGAGTAGTTTTCGGATTATTTTTTTCTTCCCAAAAGTATTTTTGTTAACGAAACGATTCAGGTACACACAAGAGGATATGATAAGGGGTTGACACCAGCACAAAGACATTACAGACTACAGTGCATTGGAAACCGGTCTATACCACATGTTTCAATTGACTGTTTCAATAAACTCTACAATCCTAGCGTCTTCCTAAGCTCTGATACCCCTGTAGAGAGAAACAATGGGTGGGGGTTTGGGGAAAGGCGGAGCGGGGGCAGTGCCTAAATACCCTAATGAATTCTCTTAAGAATCAATGCCCACTGGAGGAGAGGTAGTGAAGGGGTTTGGGTAATTTATTTAACGTGGCAAATTTGGACAAGGACCCCCAGCTCGGAATGGGCCTACTTGTTTCAAGTGATGTCGGGCGGGGGGGGATGATTAACGTCCACTGGGAAGCGGACGGCGTGCAACGTTTCATGGTCAATGCGCCCGCAAAGTATTTACCAAGGCGGCCCGCCGGACTCGAACCGCAACCCCTCGGAACGAGCGGCGAACGATGCTGGGCCGCATCGCCTTAGGGCCGTTGCAAAACACGCGTGGTAAATATCAAATACCGTATTCTTGGTTCTTTCGGTAAAGTCACGAAGAAGGGAAACAATAAAATAATAAAAATATAAAACAATAAAATTCTCACGACGTTTCGACTGCAACACAAGCAATCATCATCAGGTGTGAAAGCCACAGCAAGAAATTTTGAAAAAAAAGTGGCGTTTTTTTTAACGTTAGCGCCACGGAGAGCGATTTGGCAGTTATTCAGATGGACGAGTCCATCTATATTTTTTTAATTTAAAGCTTTCGTGACTGCAGTGATTCATATTCTTGGTTCTTTCGGTAAAGTCACGTTGAAGGGAAGCAATAAAATAATAAAATATTGCTATATATATTGTTTCCCTTCAACGTGACTTTACCGAAAGAACCAAGAATATGAGTCCATCTATGTTTGGAAAAGAGGAGGGGGGAGACGAAAAATAATGGATGCGGTCTGAAAGCCACCTTAAGCGTGATCAATCAATTAAGACCCGAAATGGTTTATCAAATCCTTCCAATGATTGCTAAGCCAGAATCCATCTTCTCGGTTGAAATTGTCTCTGTATATGTGAGAATTTTATTGTTTTATATTTTTATTATTTTATTGTTTCCCTTCTACGTGACTTTGCTGAAAGAACCAAGAATATGAATCCCTGCAGTCACGAAAGCTTTAAACCGTAACTTGTGTTTTATAAATATCCACGAAAATTTATTTTTGCCATCTCATCATCTCACCGCGTTGCAACGAGCACTGGTGTTCTAGACCGCATACCGGATTATAAAGGCGTGCAACCCAACCCCCGGTATTGGAGAATTGCGACGCATCGGGGTGCCGTGCGGCAGGGCCACCGTTAGCGGCCTTGTCTGGTGCCGAGAGAGGAGAGGCCCATTGACGTGACTGCTATTGAAGTCGCTCCGCCTCGTCGTCGTCTTCTTCCGAGATGGGGGGGGGGGGGGGGGCCTTTTCTCTCGATGCGGTGGCAGCGAGGGCGGGGGGGGCTTCTGCCCACTTGAAGGAATTCCGAAGAGACGGTTGTTCACCTCGCAGGGCAAGTCGAAATGTCACTGGGATAAAGTAAGGCAACGTGATCTAAAATTAGAACACGGTAAAACAATCGCAGGAATGTTGATTTGGTTTTAACTGTACCTTCTTAAAATAATGCCCGCAACTATTTCTTTTTGACTTGGCTGCATCCAGAGAGCCCTCGGTATTTTTGACAGGAGCATACTAAAAGCAAATTGTTATTGTATTGATTCGGTGCGAATGTGATACTGCCCTACAAGCAAGCCCGTGTTTTCTTCGACATTTTTATATGCGCCGACTCCTACTTGCGTCTTACCAAGGAGGCTATTTGCTTGTTCATCGATAATTTTTGTTTTTAGGCAGCTTTGTTTGGCTGCACTGAACGTGTGTGTGTGTGTGTCTTTATGTAAAGGGGAGCAGTGGTATAGCGGTTAGCGCGCTGCGCTATGAACCCGGCAACCCGAGTTCAATTCCCGCTCACGGCCAACACCAGTGACGATTATCTGAACCGGTCCTGGCTGGGCCTCCCCTCGGTCTACTCAGCCTCAACTGAGTACCTGGTGCAGTGTGTAAACATCGCCACTAGGGAGACAAAGGCGGCCTGGCATGGTGCTGGCCATCCACCCCCTCGTGTGTTGCGCTGGCCTTCATAGGTGCTCGCTTTTTGGGGGATTTTTGTCTTTTTGTGCCTTTATGTACGCATGTTTTCCCATATGTGTATGTGTGTGTGAGTTTGTATGTACGGTGTATGTACGGTTGTAGCAGTGGCAGAATAGTTTGCGCATTGCGCTATGAAACCAGTGACCTGAATTCCATTCATGGCCAAGGTTGATATCAGTGGAGATTATCTGAATTGCTACTGGACGTCTCCTAAGTCAACTCAGCCTTAAATGAGTACTTAGTACAGTATGTGAACATTTTCTGCAACGTGGCACTTGCTGCGAATAAAATGGTAATTTATGGATACCTTAAACGTCCAAATTGGCCCAATATGTGAACCTTATTACATGGGAGGCAGAGGCGTTCAAGCCCACGTGGCCTCACCACATCGTCCATTGTGTGCCTCCCTGGCCTTAATAGGTGCTCACTAACAGCATTTGCCTCCCAAATATAAAAGACTAAATGGGGAATCCTTGTGTTGGCGTGTGTGTGTGTATATTGGCAGGCAAGGTACGGTGGAGGGACTTTGATCAGAGCATATACATCGGCAGTACACTGGTGAGGCCTGGTCAGGACCCATACAACCGTAACAAGTTCAACCAGGTGGAGAGCGATAAACTCAAGATGGACCGCAGCATTCCGGACACCCGGCACGACGCGTGAGTCGAGCACTGGCACCACGGTGGTGATGGTCATGCTGGTGGTCTTCCTGGTGATGTTGATGGTGGTCATGGTGGTGTTGATGACGGTCGTGGTGGTCATAATGATGACGTGACATAATTAAGATAACAATAAAATGACGATAATGATGATTTCGATGATGGTGGAGGGGCTGATATGGCCTCAGTGATGATGGTGATCATATTTGGTACATTGATGCTGCTGGTCACAAAGCTGGATGACCATTATCGTGATGATTAACCTGACTAGAAGTTGATCCGTTTATCTCAAAATTGGAGACACTACTGCTTTACCACTTTGAGGCCGCATAAAGTGTCAAAGGCTCGCTGGTAGGAGGCGGGTGCAGGTGTCATGGGTTAACTGCCTGAGATGACGGGCAGGTGCACCGTCTGCACTTTCCGCTCTACCCAACTTGCTGTGTTATAGCCACTCGGTGCCCTGCTCGTCGGCAGGTATGAGCGTAATTCTTCAACGGTTTTATTTAACTTGACTTGTGTTTGTCGTGGTCAAATCTTTTAATCAAAATATAGTCTACTTGCTGTTGTCCAATCAATTCCAAATTTTGCACACGTACTCAGATCCGGTGACAATGCATGCCTGTATCAAAATCGGCATCAATTAATCAACTAATTAGCTATTTTAAAGCAATTAACATTTTGTATGGACGGCTTATGCATTAAATATTTATTTGGGTAGGTGAAAAACGCCGCGGTCCCTAAACTCTGGAATCGCCTTGCCCAAGAAGCAGGCGCCACGTGTCTGACGTACTTCTCGACCGTGAGTTAAACGAAGTTGTTAATAAAACCGTTGTTTTAAAAAAATATTTTTTTAAGGAGTTTATTTTGACTTTCACTGTCGCTGAAGGGTGGGATACCTCTTAATTGCCGAGTAACGTCTTTTAACGAGCCTCCTCATATAATAAAATAATGAATGTTCCATTGTCTAAACATATCCCGTGCATGAACAGACTCTTGTGGCAAGCATTGTCAGAGTTGAACACGTTGGATTTGATGACCAATATTATCCTTCAGAGGTTTTTGGGATGGCTCGAGAATAATCCAACAGGTAATGGATATCCATTGTAATTTATATGCATACATTACCCCCCCCCCCACACACTGGCCTTCGCACCTGATTGGCTGACAAATGACGACATTACATCTATCTCTCTATTTAGCAGGAAACGGCAGGATTTCTCTATAAATCTGGCTGTCACCTGATGATGCTTGTTGTTGTGATTACTGGTGAAACGTCGTCCTCAAATTGTAAATATTGTGATTTTACTGTCCAACCCACAGGTGTACTGAACTAGTAACGAACTGGCACGTTTTGTTTACGTGACAAACCTTGCTAATTGTCTCTGTCGGGTGGTGGCGGGTTTAACGACACATTTACGTGATCTAACCCAAGGATCTCTTCTAGATTGTTAGAGTACCTGCATGGCACCCACAAGGAGGTGGTATCGCAGGTACCAGTTGGTCCACTTCACAAGCTGAACTCACCATACCACGGCATCACATCTCTTTTTTTTTCTTCCCCAAAGCGACATTTGATTAAACATTCAAATGCACGGTGCACTCCAAGAGAGCGTTTGGAGAGAGATGTCAGATGATGTTGTTAGAGCAAGTCGACCTCGGGGAGGCTCTGGCGAGCCAGCCGCTCGCGGAGACTTAAGCAGTTGGAGTGATTTTCCACTCTCGATCGTGTGGAGCTCATAAATTGCGAGCCCATCGACGTCACGATGCTGTAAACTCACCCCGCTGAGCTCTCCCACCCTCCCTCCCAGCTTGCATGTTAGCAAATGCCACCGAGCAAATTCAATCTAATGGTAATGTATTTTTTGTTATTCAAATAAATATTAACGTCAGTAATGATGGCACCATTTAATGTCAAGCCATCCGCAGGGCTCGTTAATTAATTTGAACATGCAGAGTACAACGTATCTTATTTTGGGTTTAAATTGAGAAAAATACAGTGGGAGGTGGCCAGGTGGCTTGGGTTGGACTGAGCTGGTAGCACTGCGATTATGAGTTTGAATCCAGGCTCCAGCCACCCAGCATTTAGCTCGTTTTCACGCTGCCAAGGTGCAATGGTTAGCGAACCAAACATGCAACCCGGAGGTCAACGGATCAATCTCCCGGTGCGGCAGTTGAAGCAATGGAGAAAATTCATTAAATCGCCCCCCCCCCCACCACCGGAGTTAGCCGATTGTAAGGTGACGTGTGGTGGGGTAAAGTGTGGGTACCTCTTCCCAGATGTCTGGCCAATGAGGAAGAGGAGACCAAATTACCCTCGAGAGCTCTCTTTCCTGGAGGCCCTTCCCACTAGCCGTGGCGTGAGCCAGCAATTGAAGACTTCAGCTCTGCTTTCATTTAATGCAAAATCTTCCTGTTCCGAGGGCTGAATTTTCAGTTTCATTTTCGTGTGATGGGATGCTCCTTGCAGGGGCATGTGTTTAGGGCCCAGTGTCAAGTAACTCTACGCCATTATTTTTACCGAGTCATTCTTTCACACAGGGTGGTGCCCTGTTTGCTGCGAGACGTCATAATGGAAATGCTTTCATCCCGTCATCACAGTGGTAGCACAATTTGGAAGCCGTTTATAATTTTTCAATATTCGTATGTATGTTGAACTTCTTTTGCACCGTACGTAGCCAACCGTGCTAAGCGGAGGTGCGAAATAATCCCATACTAAATTGAAACATGAGTATTTCGGAGGCTTGCAGTAAAATTGGTAAATACAACGGCTAGAATTTTGGCTTGTTTTTATTATTATTATTATGTTAATGGATGTATGAAACGCAACAAACTACTCATACTGTTAATAATTAGCTAAACATTTACAGTGTTGCTGTCTTAAAAGCATCTTATTTTACTTTGCTGATCTTTTCCCGGCCTAATAAAGGACACCTGCATGTGCTCCACCGCCTGTGCAGCGTTGGCGGTGCTCCTGTCCATCGACAGACGTGGGGACATTAGTAAAAATCCCACGTTTTTAATGTCTCTCCACAGGGCACCAACTCTTGACTTACCATTTGGGGCAATTCATTTCAGCTACCACTAATAAATGATCGGCTGAGTCTTACCCCTGAGTGGTATTTGGGCCGCTGACCCTCTGCGAGTCGAGCTCTCTGACCAGAGCGCCGCCGAACAAGCGCATTCGCGCGATCGAGGAATTGGTGTTTCCAATTAAAAGCACAAATTTCCGTGGCTTTGACATTAAGTTGCATCTTGGGGATGGCACCATCTGGAGAGAGAGAGAGAAAAAAAACTGCCCACGAAGTAAAGGGGAAGAAGGCCACCTCGACCATCCATAACGAGTCATGGCCGGTGAAGCCAAGCGTGGACGTGGTGTTACAAGGTGATGAAGGCAGGGGAGTGGGATCGAATGAGGTGGATGAATCTTTCAGCCATGGAGCTGCCCCTCAGGCAAAAAGAACTTGATAGAGCTGTGCTTTACTGAACAAGTTACAACCCATTTGAGATTCATGACTTCTTCAGGTGCGAATGTTCACAGTCTGAGAGAACCGTGATATCATTATTCTTTGTGCCCTTTATTTGAGCCATCACTCAAGTGGCGGGAGAAAGATAAAAGTAAAAATGCTGCTTGACGACTCGAACGAAGGGAGCGACACTGTGAACTGATGAAGAAGAGGAAAACTGAAGATCAGATAGGATGGGTGGGGGGAGGGAGTTTGAGCCAAGGCCCTACCAGTGGGCACAGGACAAGAGGGAGAGAAGGCCCTTAATTTGCTTTGGCAACTCATTTGGGTATGCTGTGTAATTTCTTGGCTAGTTAACCGTATGTAACACGATTGAGATTGATTATATTTTCATGTCCTTTAATCTAGTGCCCACTGATATTCATGACTTTTGAATGGTCTTTTAAAATCATTACCGTATTTTTATGTATTATTTCTTTGTTCTTTATCCGATGTGTAAGCACAATTGACATGCGTGGTCTTTATTTTAACCATCTTGGGAAGTCATTGGGATGTATGCATGACATTTTCTCTTCATGGCCTTAATTTCTCGATGTAAGGAATCATCGTGATGCAACCACCAGCATCATTATTTATATAGTAATCCTTTATTTAACCATCTAAGTGCACGTTTAGATGCATTGTTGGGATGCATTATGTTGGATGCATTACGTTCTGACCTGCCCCTACTGGGCATCTGTGAAATAGAGCTTTATAGCTCATCGGGATTCCTCCAGCAAAAATAAATGTTCTGATTCTGCATTAAAGTAATACTAAATGTTGATTTAAAGCTTTCGTGACTGCAATAATTCATATTTTTAGCTCTTTCAGTAAAGTCACGTTGAAGGGCGTCATCTGGTTGAGCACCAATTGGGTCGAGGCTCAAAAGAAAGCCGTCCCTTGGTGTGGACCAATCAGTTTCAAGGACAATGCATATATTATCATAGTATGTTTTTTGTTTGCAATTTGACTGCAGGTATTGTGGGTAATGCAGACATGAATCCTGGTAAAAAGGTTTCAGTTTTGTTGCCAGAAAAAGGGGGAAAACCCTATTATTACATTTTGGTACTGGCAAAGGAGGTCTAATGATGTAAACAATAAAATTCTCACGACGTTTCGACCATAACACAAACGGTTTTTTCACGCCTGATGATGACCGTTTGTGTTATGGTCGAAACGTCGTGAGAATTTTTTTATTGTTTTATATATATTTTATTATTTTATTGTTTCCCTTCAACGTGACTTTACCGAAAGAGCTAAGAATATAAAGTAATACTGTACATTATTTCACTGATGGATAAAAAATCACCAGCTCCTATCATTACGAGCAAGTGTGGTTGTAATCGTTTGTGAACTAAACACAGCAGATTTGTGGCTATCTCATCAATAGCAAAAGAAGGGAAAGGCAACCGAAGCATGTGTTGATGAAATTAATTTCGATTTAAAGTTTTCGTGACTACAAGGAGTCATCTTCTTTGGTTCTTTCGGTAAAGTCAC